AAATTTGGAATGTTGGATGAGCCAATTCATATTTTAAGTCCCCATGTGAAGAGTGATGAGTTCCTCCTGAATGACAGGTTAGTCAAAACGAGGAGAGCACAAATAATACCACTACAAAAAGCATCCCTGATATCAGAATAGAAGCAAATGAGGAAGTAGGCCAAATAGCTTACGGATTCTTAGGCAAAAATCAACTTTAGACCTGGCATTTCTGCACTGAGGTCTCTGCTCAGGGGAGAAGCCTATTGCTTTGCTCTTGCTGGCAACTCTGTGGTAGGAAGTACTGGGCGTGCCAGGTGGGGCCCGCACTTGTGGAGAAAGCTATGCATGTGTGAGTGTGGGACTGTATAACCTATGTTGAGCTATGCACCTCAAAAATATTATTTTGGTCCAGGACTTGTTGAAGTCAGCCACATACTACAGCAGATGCAGCTGGCTAATAAACTAGATCTTGAGGGAGTCATTGCAAATGACAGCAACAGTGACTGAGAAAGCTCAATGAGATGGGCATAAGGGAATTCACATTTTATTCAAAAGCAAAACTTAAAAAGGAAACAGAGTCAACCACATTCTTTCCTTTAGGCCTTCTGCCATCATTTTAACTAAGAATGAAAAACACCATGACCCCAGACACTTCAAGGTCAAGTATGTCATCAAATAAAAAACCTGCAGGTATCAGAGCCTCATGGAATCTACTAAGTTGTCACAATGTCCTGTTTTTGAGGTATTTAAAAAAAATTGTGACAGTGGATGATGCAAAAATGGAGCTTCCTGTTGAGTTCTTAAAAACATTAACTTCTGTGGACACAAGGAGAAATTTAGCACCAACTAAAAGCAGCCTCAGTGACATCAAGGGACAAAGAAAGCTCCTGCCATTAGTCTGAACATGAGGGGCTACCGATAAGCACTGGAAGCCACACTGGGGCAAAGGCTGGGAGGAGCAAAGGAACAAACCCCTTGCCCACCATGGTCCCAACCAGTGCCAGGTGAGGAAGAAGCTTCCTCTGCACCCACTCCATGGGCCCCTTGAGTTTCCCAGGGACAGACACCTGCTCAGCACCTGGGCCGCAGGAGAAAGATGTGCGGCTCTGACTAAGACACATGCTGTGCTAGACAAGGCAGGAGCACCTGACTCCCCTTCCTCAGAGAAAGCATTGCATGTCCTTGCCTCCCCATTGGGCCTGAGAAGACAGGCGTGAAACCAAAGCACCCGCCAAGCCAGGCAGGCCCCTCAGCAAGGGAGTGAGCCGCCTTCTTGACTGCCTTTCTTTGTTTGGCCAAGGGAAGAACAATAAAACAAAACTAAAACTGCTCAGAGCAGATTATAGCATGGTAAACAGAGGTCTGAGAAGACAGCACCAAACGAGGAGGAACAAAAATAGCCGAGAGAGACTGGAGCCCACCTTGTTTTTGGTTGGTTGTGGTTTCAGAACATTGATAGCACCTCAGCAAGACAGGATCAGGGACAGTCACATTAAAACACCATAGCACCATTTTATTTAGACTATTTCAACTCATAAAAATGCTTCCTAGTCCATAAAACACACTTCAGTAACAAAAGGAAAGAGATATTGGTTGAGGCACGTCAGGGATATATCAGAGTTTTCCACCAGCTTTGCCTTGGGTTGGCATCACGGGTTGGTTAAATGTCAAGACGAAAGTCTGGCTGGGTTTCTCTCAGAGAAATCAGGTCACCATCTACTGTCAACCATCCTCATTCATCTACTGCTGATACAAAGCAATTACGCTCTGAGACTTCTTTCCTTGCATTAGTGCTTTAAAAATCCCTTGCTCTGCACACTACGGTTTCCAAAAGAGGCAGGGGAAGGATCAGAAGGGGCAGGTAGAAAACCTTTCCATGCACACCACTGTCATCTCAGGGAGCAGGCAAAGCAGCACCTGGGGAGCCAGGTGTGGGGAACTGAGGCCCTGCTAAAAATGAGACCCCAAACAAAACCTCCCAAATCTATGCAACACCATTAGTCAAGCTTTCTGATGGTAAGATGATGGTTTCTTGAGCTAGCACCAGTTATTGGGTGAGAACCTGCTGTGAAGTGATTTTTACTTACAAAAAATCTCTTAGGATAGAACTTTGCAAGTACTTCCCTTGCACACAACAGGCAGGGGAAACAAAACAAAGCAAAAAAAGGAACCAAACATTTGCACTACGTATGGTGTCTGTGGACAGGGTACAATGGGGAGAGGACTACAAGACTCCATTTTCTGTTCCTATATTACTCTTCAAACTTGGTCATGCTGTTAGGTTCTTTAGTTGCAATGGCTTTATTTTTCTTCTCATGATAAAAATGTTTGTCAACCATCTTTAGGACTTAAAAAATGATAATGCCAGTAAAAAATAAAAATTTGATTTTTTTCTTTAAGAAGCCTTCAGCAGCAAGGGGGGATAAAGAGCTGTGCATAGTTACTTTTTAAATATACGTCTAAAGCATGCTAATTTCAATGACTGAGATTTGAGGTAGGTTATACATGTAGTGTGTAAAAATCAGCATGGGTTTGAGCATGGCAACAGCACCAGCTAACTCTCTGTCCCTGCTCAGAGGGGCATGGCGCATCCCATGGAGCCTGCTTCCTGACTCGCCTCTCAGCAGCCTGGTTCCAGCCTTGAAGCTAATGACCCAAGACTGTGTGGGCTGGGGGACAGACACATGCTTGTAGCTTGTATTGGTTTCTCCTTTCTAATGGCTTTGCTACCAAAGGGTGACAAGGGGAAGAGCACAGTTAACAAACATCAGAGATCCACACATGCCAAGTATCAGAATCACCTAGGTTACACTCGGGACCTTCCAAACCAACAGCCAACCTGGGGCTTCCACGGGTCAGACAGACGGTCACATTCTCAACGTTTTGTAAAATATCGTATTTCTTGCGTAAGATCATTTAAAATGAAGTTTTCAAGGCACCCCCGCATCTACCTAAGCACGGAGTCAAATGAGACCTGCATAAAAGTACTGATGCGATAAGCAAAATAGCATTTAAAGGACCCAACTTTTCCTCAAAACTAGAAAATTAGCATGCTCATTAAAGACTCTGCTTCCTTTAGCTTGTCAGACTGAAGGTCAGAGGTTTTCCTATAAATCTGAGTTCTGAATAATTCTAAATCCTGATAAGCTCTTGGGTATTTATTTCAAAAGCAATAATATTTCATTTTTGTCCTGTAAAATAAATGCAACTTTACAGAATATGGTAAAAGTGGAGGATAGACAAAGCACGTTAAATATTCAGCTACTATTTACAATTTCTCCCACAATTACATGTTAAAACGTACTTTTTCTTCAAGTTGCTGTTTAAATCTAGGCAAAAGTGCTTAAAAAAATCTTTTTACTATTTACAGTTAAAACCAGACCACATAAATGCTCAGAACATCTTATAGCGACTCCGCCAGTGCTTCCAAAAGGTTACAGTAAATACCCAGCGGATTGGTCTCAGCTCTTACACAAGGCACCTGGAGGCTCAGGAGCTTGCCGTTAGCACTGTCAATTGATTGTTAAACTCAATTTATAAAGAACCACATCTGAATAAAACTGCTTAATAAATATCTGGTTGGCTGTCACTCACTGTGTAGCCACACCCCGTGCGTCCTGATGAAGCCCCCACTCAACACACATGTCTACACGGGTAACTTGGTATCACTTCTGCTAATACCACAGGAAAAACAAGCACTCCAAGAAGTCTGACTGGCTGTCGATGAGTCTTGCTTCCAACTGTCAGCTTGAACCTCTCTCAATAATGTCACAAAAATGAAGCACCACATTCTCTTTTCAAAGAACTAAACAAATGCACCAGAATTTCAGAATGGGTGTGTTACAGGGGATGGAAAGGGGAGGAAGAAAAAAAAATTATCCAATGGAGAACTGGCACCAATGAGGGAGGAAAATCATAGCAACCTGTTGAAAACGTTTGACTCTTGCACTTTAAGTGTAGGCCTTGCTCCTGCAGAAAGCAGGAGGAGGTGGGCCGGGGAGGCATGCACCACTGTCCAATGTGGAGATCCAGGAAAGGACAGGTGTGTTAACTGCTGTTACACTGGTTTGCTGAGCTCCCGCAGGACGCAACCTGCCCAAGAGTCAAAGTCCCAGCACAACACTACAGCACCAGGCTCTGCACAACTCCACGCACAGAGCCAGTTTGGCTCTTCACAGCTTGAGTTCAACTTCTTGTGTTAAGAGATACAGTAGCCCTTTTTCGGTATTAGCATAGACTTTGGGGCGATTTTAAAAAACTGCCACTAAGACAAATTCCTTCGGCCCAGTATTCATTACCTTATTGACATGGTGGAGAGGGCTCTAGGAGCCTCTCAACTCCAACTCCAGCTCCAGCGTGAGGTGCTGCTAGCTAGTGAGCCATGATATCCTGTGGACTTGATAAATAACGGACAGAGAGAATTCAGTGTGGAGACTAGCAAGCTTGACGCTGTCTACTTCCAACCTGGTTTCTGGGGAGATCCATGCCAGCGTATCCTGGGCTGGGCCTGGGGTGCCTCCGCCCAACTGCTGACTGGGAAGGGGCCCCAGACAGTTCTCTGCAGCTTCTCCCATCCTCCCGGACAGGAAGGAAGCTGGCCTGGGGGCTCCTTGCCCACGGGGAGGGAAGGATAGACTAGGGCTACATGCTGCACTTGGCTCACCAGGGGCAGTTTGCCGAGAGAATCTGTCAGCTCCCAAGAGGCCGAGCTTGCCAGTGGGAACAGCACTGCTGGCCTTTCCTGCCCATCCATTACCATTACTATTGTCGCTTTTAAAAAATCCAATAAATACACATTTTAAATGGAATTTAAAACTACTCCTTTGTGAAAGGACACTATAAACTTTCTTTCCATTATTGTGATATACAAGGATAGAGTTTTAAAAACAAAGAAAATAAAAGCCCCTCCTACAGGGGAAAATAAAACAATGTGGAGATATAAATATTAAGATCACGGAAAAAAATCACCCGACAGCCGTAGTTTCTTCTTCAAAGTGCTGGGGACATGGGGCCGGGGGGGGGGGGGGAGGCGGGTCAGTTCTGAGGTTTGGACCATAAATACATATATATGATAAGCATATCCATATATGTATGTATAGATGGAAGGACTTCTGCACCCCCAACCCGCCCCCCGGCGTGAGGGCAAAAGCACCAGAGGCAGCGTGGGCTGGGCCCGACGCTGAGGTACGCTGGCTCCCTGGCACCTAGATCCAGCGGCTATAGGGGCCAGTGACCTTTGTGTAGGCGTAAGAGGACACGGTGACCGATGAGTCTGTGGGCACGGCCAGTGCCTGCCGGGTGGGGACAGCCCCCTTCTTCTCTTTGTGCTGGGGCTCAGTGACCATGGCACCCCCCCACTTGCGCTTCTTCCCGTACAGCTTGGACTCCTGTTGACCCAGACCCAGCCGTGCAGCCTCCTCCTGCCGTGCCCGCGCCCGCTCTGCCAGCTGCTTCATCTTGGCCTCCCAGAGAGCCAGCCCGTGGTTGGGCTGGTTGAGGTTCTTGTGCTGGTAGAAGACCAGCGAGATGCGGGTGGGGTGGCAGCGGTTGGGCTTCTTGAGTGGCGTGGTAGCGTGTAGCTCCCGCCGGGCACACTCAATGAGGATAGAGCCATGGGCAGGGGCCACAGCCACGCCACCGATGTTCTCGTCCAGGAAATTGTGTTCGCTGTCTGACCACAGTTCTTCCTCCTCCTCCTCCACACTGGCCTTCTCTTCCTTCACTGTCCCCTTGGTGGGGGCCTCCTCAGCTGTCCCTTCCTCCAGGCTGAAGGGATCCCATAGCTTCTCTTCAGACTTCAGGGCCCCGAAGAGCTTCTCACTGGAGCCCAGGGGCATGCCAAAGGCCTGCCAGGCCTTGTCCAGATGGCTTGCCCCTGGGGTGGGAATTCTTCCTTCCTCTCCTTTCATGGGGTTCCACAACTTGTCTTGGTATCCAGAACTGCCTTTCAGGGCAGAGCTGAAATCTCCAGCCCCGACCCCCCAGGGCTTCTCAGTCAGGCTGGACCCAGCCAAGGCTGAGGTGCTGTTCCCAAACTTGCAAGGGCTCCATGATTTGCCTCGCAGCCGTCCTCCAGGATGGGGAGCAGGCTGCTGACCCTCACCAGCGAACAGGCCCCACTGGCCATCTGGGAAGTGAGAAGGGGTTAGGCAGCTGGCCCCATAAGAACTGAGCTTGTCAGGGACAATGGCAGGGCTCTCCCCAGGAGGGAACACACCCCAGCTTCCACCTACACTGTTAGTCCTCTTTGGGGACATGCTTGGGCCTCCTGAGTACTGTCCCCATAGATGATTGGGTCCCCCATTCTGAGATGCTTCAGGCAAAGGTGTTTTGCCCATCTTACCAGGGTCTCTGGGTACAGATTCGGTCTGGACCAGTGGGTCTACTGGCTCTTGCTTGATGGATCTACTGTAGCAGTTGGTGCTCTGAGTAAAAGGAGAGGGGTCCCTGGACACTGGGTGGAGCTGGGGGGCCTTGGGAATCAGATACTCCTTGGGGCCTGGGTAAGCAGGCTGCTGGTGGTGAGGAGTAGGGTGGTGGGTATCTGTGGGAACAGCTTGGCCAGGCAGCTCGGCAAACTCAGCACCACCGTACGCCGGGCTCAGGCTGTTGTGCAGAGCATGGAGGTCTGGCTTCTTCTCAAAACTCCCACTGCTGCCACTGTGGCCCCAGGTGCCAGGACCCAGGAACTGGGAGGGGAAGACGGGGTTGCTGGATGGAAAGCCGTAGTAGCCAAACGATGGAAGAGCATACTTGGAGTGGAACCCGTTGACAGAGGTCAGGCTGGGCTGTGCATAGTAGGAGTGGTAGGAGTACACACTGTTCATGCTGTAGGGGTCGGAGGGCCGGCAATTGCCCAGCACCGAATAGCTCTCCACCACTGCGTTGCTGTTATACTTGAAGGAGCTGAAATGGTTCTGCGGTTCCACCTTGAGGGAGGGCTTCAGGCTTTGTTGGGACAATCCACCTTTCAGAGACAGGGCTAGGGAAGAAAAAGGCAAGGTGGAAAAGCAGCCAGCAACACCGTAGCCTGGCAAGGTCTAGGGCAGAGGACTGGGGATGGAAGCTCCCTCCCTCTGAGATGTCTCCTTTTTCTGGAGAAGCGAGACAGGTGGGGCATACCCAAGCTGGGACCCCAACTTGGCTCTTAGGCTACCCCTAAGTCCAGACTCCTGCTCTATTTTGGGGGGAAGGAGGCAGCTTGCTCAAAGTCCTTGGCTGTGTCTATATCACTCCTCATGCTACCCTCTCGAGTGCCAGACGTTTTCCCTGAAGCAGCACCACCACCCCTTACATGTTGGGTCAGGATTACCACAGGCACCGGGGGTCAGGAGAAATGACAGTGTAGGTGCCTACAACCCAGTCATAACCCCAGGACAATGTTCTCAGACTCAGGGGACGCGTGAACATGCCATAGATCTCGAGATCCCAAGCCTCTCCATTTAACAATCACAGCTCCCTGAAGATAATGCATCCTCTTTGCACTTACTTCCTGCCCTGATGCCTCATATCAGGTATCTTAACAGGTGACACAATTAAGCAGAGGCTCAAGGACTCTGTCTCAAACTGTTACAATGATGCAAGAAGGTGGGAGGTGGGGCTCAGTGAGGGGAGTCCCAGAAGAACCAGGCCCATTCCAGCCCTGGTGGTTCCCTCTCCACATACCTGGGTCGGTGGGGATTCCAGCCAGCTCCAGGGCCTCCTGCTTGATCTTCTCGGGGGTACTCAGCTTCTCCTTCTGAATCATCTTCTTCTTCTCAGCTGCTGCCCTCCTGGCTTCCAGCTGCCGCTGGCGGCAGGACTTGGCAGGTTCAGGCAGGCGCCGAACCTCTCGAGGGAAGGCAGTGAGCACCTGGATGGCCCCACTGCTCACCTTGGCGTTCTGGTTCTCCTCACTGCCAAACTCATCTGTGCTAGCCATCTTGTACAGGGGAAGCACATGCAGCTGCTCATCCTCGGGAATCTGGCCCACACAGCGATTGTCTTCCTTGGTCAGGGTGCACACCTGCCTCATACAGGGGGAAAGAAGACATAGGGCTGAGGACTAAGCATTGGGAGACAAGGGGATGAGTTCAAAGATGTGACCTCCTCATTCCCCAAGTGGTCCCACTGCCAGCCATCCACACAGTCCTCCCACCCACAACTGCTTCTCAAAGTCTAAAAATCTCATTCATTTTGGCCCACCGAGTAACAGCATCACCACCATGTAGAGTGTGCGCAATAGCTTTCAAAGCAGGTCTGCTCATGTTACCACCTATGTCCCTGACACACAGCTGTGAGGGGATGAGATGACTGGCATAGGGTCACACAGCTGATAAGGGGCAGAGGCAGCAACAGGAGACTCAATGCCCAGCAGCCCAGCATTGGTGCCACCATATATCACCTAGCTGAGCCTCAGACCTACCACCCTTGTCCTGCAGCTCCTTTTGCTCTTAAAATAATTTTTTAAATTATAAACTATGTTCTGGTTGTATAAAACTTAGGCAAGCAAAAAGGGAATAAAAACTATCTCCACAATCCCACTACTCAGAAATAATCACTGTAAACACTCAGGTCATTTATGCATACACATGTACATAATTACTTTTTGGTAATTAAGTAGGATACTATGCATGAAGTTATAACTTAATTCTTAACATACTTTCTTATGTATTAAATATCCTTCCTAATTTTTTTAAGAGCTCTATAATATTATTCTACTTTATCAATGTGTTACTTAACTAATTCTATATTATCAAACATTTCAACTTGTTTCAAATTTTTCCCTACCGTAACACACTTTTTGAAATTGTTCAGCTATATTTTCCAAGATACTTAACTCCTTAGAATAAATGCTGCAAAGCAGCCCTGTCACATACAGTATTGCCAAACTGTTCTCCAAAATGACTGTTTTTTTCTCATACCAAAAATTGAGTTTTAATTTCTCCATATTTTGTAAGCACAAGGTCCTGAGTTCGAGCCCTGATACCAAAAAAACCTCTCCATATTTTTGTCAATAATTTTGCCATTAATTTATCTCATTGTTAGTTTACATTTCTTAACAAGGCTTCCTTTTTAAGTTTACTTTCTTCTACTTTATTTTCTGTATTCTTTTCTTCATTGTGATTTTTTTTTTTTTTTTTTGGCAGAACTGTTGATCAAACTCAGGACCTTGCGCTTGCCAGGCAGGCATGTCACCACTAAGCTACATCCCTGGCCTATTTTCTTTTGTTTTGTTTTTTTGGTACTAGGGATTGAACTTGGGACCTTGTGCTTGGAAGGCAGGCGGTGGAACCACACTGAGCTAAATCCCGGGCCCTCCTGGCCTATTTTCTGTATTCTTGATGCTCTGGCTTTTGGGGCCTTGTTCCTGGAAAGATGGCCCTTCCTATACTACTAGCTAATTCCTGGAGATAGCAAATGATGCCCTGAGAATGTGCCTTTGGTATACAAATCAACCAAAACGGAAGCCCAGTAGCCTCCTTTATCTAGCTCACACAGCAAGTTAGTATTTTCCATGTCCTAAATCATCCTTGGGCCAGGTGTCTACAGGTGCCTGGGTCCAATTCTATAGCCAAAAGCCTGTCAAAATTATCCACATTATCCAGTCCTAAATTTATTTAGTGTACCTACCCTTCCTTGCTCATTCCTTCTTGTAGAACACAATAAAGTCTCCAGCCTCCATTTTCCCTGGCTCCCTGTGCCTCCTGACAGACCCTAGTCTTCCCTGTGTGGCCCCTGCATGGGATGCCATGCAATACTCCTGCTTCTAGGGATCAGTGAGCACAAATATCTTTGATGACAGTCATTTCTATGTCTGTGTATCTGAAGACATCTGATTAAAACAAATCTTTGGTGGATTTTAACACAACTCTTTTCTTCCTTTTCGAGTTTTATGCCTTTTTTTTTTTTTTTTTTGAGATAGGGTCTTGCCATGTGGTTCAGGCTGGCTCTGAACTCACTATATAGTTCAGGCTGGCATCAAACTTGCAGCGATCCTTCTGCCTCAGCCTCCTGAGTGCTGGGATTATAGATGTGCACCACCACATCCCAGCTATTGCCTGTTTTTATATTATTCACTTTTATCATTATAAAGTCATCTTTCTGCATATGGGTTGTCATTCCTTCAATAATACTGTTGCAGATGGAGCTCTGTCTGCCATTATGAGCACTCTGTTCTAGGAACTGCTTTTCTTAACTGAAAGACAACTCAAGTTACCCATTTTTGTACTGGGCTTTACATTTGGATAGTAGTGTCTTATTTATTGAAATGGCAACTTCAGAAATCCTTTCATTTTGACTTCCTGCTTTGGGTCATGCTCCACCCAGCTTCTGAGCCAGTTTGTCCCCAGGGCACAGAGGTCTCCTCCAGGCTTCTTGGTCTGCTCTGGGTGGGTCTGGCCATTAGCCTTGGTTCCTCCCACTCTGGACACCCAGTGTTCTAAACAATAGGGCAAAGGTCAAATGCAAAGGATGAGATGCGACAGAAACTATGCTTCTATCCCTAACACAGGAAAGACAACCTTACACATTGTTAAAGATAAGGCAATCCTGATTTTAAAAATAAGCAGGAAAGGATATTAATGGAATTCACAAAGATAAAATTAAAATGTTCAAGGAAAACAAGAAAAGATGTTCAACTTCTCTAGCTTCAAGGAGACATAAATTCAAATGAGACTGTATGTTTGCCAATGAGGCAGGAAAAGACTAGACTGACAAAATCTAGCATTGCCAGTAAGCAGAACAGGCACTCTTAGCTTGCAAATGTGAACATTCTTGCCCTGGGACCTCAAGTAGACTTACCACACCTCTGCACACAGCTGTTCTTGTGTCTTATAGATGGGAAATGTCTGAAAGCACTTACTGTCTGTCCACAGGGACTGCTTACATAAGTGGTGGCAGAGCTATTCACACAGCTTTGGTAAATGTGGACATAAATAAATCTATATCCACTGACACAGAAGGCTTGAGGTATCCCTGAGTTAAGGAGAGCAAGTCATACAAAAGAGCCAAACACCTTCACAGGAAGATAACCTCTTTAATAAATGGTACTGGAAAAACTGGCTTTCCACATGTCGAAGACTGAAACTAGACCCATATCTTTCACTATGCACTAACCTAAAATTGAAATGGATCAAAGATCTAAATATTAAAACAAACACAAAATCTGCTGGAAGAATAGGTAGAACACTTGAGGACAGAGGAGTAGGCAAAGACTTCATGAACAAAACCCAGACCTCATGGGAAATACTACAAAGAATCAACAACTGGGACCCCATCTTATTAAAAAGCTTTTGCACAGCAAGAGAAACTACCAACAGAGTGAAGAGACAACCCACAGAGTGGGAAAACAATTTTACCAGATATTATCTAGAATATATAAAGAACTCAAAAAAATCAGGCCCCCCTCAAATTTAAGGACCTAATGCAAAAATGGGCATCTGAAATGAAAAGATACTTCTCAGATGAAGAATTAGAAACAGCAAATAAATATATGAATAAAATGTTCAACATCACTGGTCATTCGTGAAATGCAAATTAAAACAACACTGAGATTCCATCTCACTCCAGAAAGAATGGCTGCTATCAAGAAATCAACCAATAACAAATGCTAGAGGGTCTGTGCGGAAAAAGGAACCCTTCTCCACTATTGGTGGGAGTATAGGCTGGTGCAATCAGTGTGGAGATTTCTCAAAAAACTAAAACTAGAGGTTCCATTTGACCCAGCTATACCTCTTCTCAGTATCTTCCCAAAAGAATTAAAAGCATCATGCCACAGTGATAGATGCACACCCATGTTTATAGCAGCACAATTTGTAATAGCTAAATTTTGGAAACAGCCCAAATGCCCATCAACTGATGAGTGGATAAAGAAGATGTGTTTTTTTTAATATACAATGGAGTACTACTCTGCCATAGAGAAGGATGAGCTTCAGACATTTATAGCTAAATGGATGGAACTTGAGACCATACTTTTAAGTGGAATAAATCAGACATACATGTTTAAATACTGCATTGTTTCTCTGGTGTGAGAAACTGAATGTGGAAATAAGGACTGAGATGTATAATGGATGCTGAGAAATGGGAAGAAAGTGTTCAAATGGGAAGGGGAACTAGGGAGGAAGGAGGAGGAAAAGAAAGAAAGGACAAAAAAAAGTGAAAATAGAAGGAAAAATGGAAACAGCTTTTGTACATAGGGAGGAGAGGGGGCTGGAGGGAGGAATGGGATAAAATAAAATTTAATTAAAAAAAAAGAGTAAGTCATAGAACAGCATGAAAATATAATGTGACCTTGTTGGTGTAAAGTTTTATATAATTGTTTATATACATGTGCATACATACACATCTCAATGGATAGTCATCAAATGCTAACAGCTGTCATCTCTACCAGATTCCAGGCAAATCTTTTTTATATTATTTAAAAGTCTTACAATGAGTGATTATTAGGAAAAAAATACTTTTAACTTTGAAAAAAATATTATTTGGTTCACCTCAAATTCTAGAAGCTCTGAGATTCATGTAACCTCACTATGCTATTGCTCACCCGTCTCCAGTGCTCCCTTTTCCTCTACCTCTCTCTGAACCCTGAAAGGTCTGCCTTTTCTACATATTTCAGCTAGACGTCCTCATGCTAGGATAGACAGGAGCCGGCCCCATCTTGCTTCTTGGTTTTGCACACAAAGACCAAAGATAGCATGGAGATGAAATTCTGAGATGGGGCCATCAATTCCCACAGGGTCAATAGTTACAACCAGAGTCTAGGAGCCCCTGCATATTCCACAGCCTCCAGGAGCCCTTCTTTCAAAGGACCTAGCTGAAAAGCAGAGCAGAGCACTGACTGCATCCTTCTGAGCCCAAGCCTCTTGTCTGCTCTGTCCACACTCATCTGCTTAGAGATCCACCCAGCCTCTCAGCTGTGCAAGCTCCATGCTCTCCAAACCTCCCATTCCCCTTCCTGCTCCACATCCCACCTGAACATCTGACAGGCACCTCCAAACAGAATGCTTGATTTTCTCTGGTTTCATTATTCTACTCCACAGTTAGTGACGCCAACATACATGGGCTGCTCATGCATCTTCTATCACTTTATTCCTTGCTTACTTCATATTTCTCTCTTATGGTATTCACTGCTACCAGTGCATCACACACTTGGGTGAGGACTTTTCCATTTTATTCCCCAGTAGTGAGCCAGGACCTCAAAGCAAAGCTGGTGCTCAATATACATTTGTTCAATGAATGAATTAGGGTTATTTGGATTTCAATCCAGGAGTTCACAGAGACCTGGAACCATACTTTATAGATAACCAGCGACTCCAGGCACCTATGGGGCCATGTCATAAATTATCTACCTGAGACACAGAACCCATGGTCAGCACTGTTCACTCATCCCAGTGAGGCTTTCTCTGAGGAGGGGGCAGGAGCAGGCAGGCAGTCAGGCCAGGTTATCTCCCAGAGTTCTGAAAATCCTGCCTCCATGTCCCTCCCTGCTCTGAGCCCACTTTCTGCACAGAACAAAGCCAGGCTCTCTCTCAGGACTTTCATGCAGCTGGGGCTGGGACAGGACACAAGCTTCCTTACCACAGTGCACCCATTATAGAGGTTATGCTGGTCCTTGTGGGCGTGGGCGCAGAAGTCCATGCAGGCCGTGACCCCCGAGAAGGGCCTTCCTTCCTTCAGCCCCAGGCGGCAGTCGATTGCTATCTCCTCATTGGTCACCTGTGTGAATGGCCAAGGAGAGCAGCTTAAGGGATCTGAGGTGAAGGGCCCCGATTCTGTTCCTGGAGAGCCTTGAACTTATACTATGGGGGGAGTTTTTCTGACTGTCCCCAGCTCCAAAACAATTCCTTATTCTTTTGAGACAGGCTCTCACTGTGTAGTTCAGGCTGGTCTTGAACTCACTATGTAGTTCAGGTTAGCCTCGAACTGTGATTCTCCTGCCTCAGCCTCCCGAGTGCTGGGATTACAGGCACACACTACCATGCCTTGCTCAAAACCATTACTTTCAGGGCCCTTTCTGGGTTACCTCAACTATCCCCTGCCTCATCTGGAAGATCCAAGGATGTGGAAGGAGCTCTGGCCTCAGCAGTAGAAGCCAGATCAGAAGGGGTAGATGATTAGTAAGGGAGGGGTTGAAGACTGGGGCTTTAGAGAGGTAGTGTGAGGGTGCAGTTAGCTTAGTATAAGAAGGGTATCAAAGAACTACATCTTTGCTTTACTTCTGAACTGGGATCCTTCTATAGGAGCTCAAAGGAGCCCATACTTCCACTTCCCAACTTTAGGGAGCCTTAACCTCACTCCTTGACAGAGGAATGAATGCCATGTGGACAGGGAAAGGCCCAGGCCTAATACCTGGTTCTGATAAGCCTGAGGGGCCAGCTGCTTGTACAAGGGAGCAACTTCAGTGGCCAAGTCCTGGAAACTCTTCCGGAGTACTTCTTCCTGCAGGAAGAAAAACAGAAAGAGCAATCACCACACACATCCAGGGTGTGGTACGGTAGGCATGAAAAAACTGTAAGCAACAGGTATGAAGGCGGTCAGCACTGAAAGCAGGAACCTGTTCACGTGTGCTGGGCTGAACTGGAGCAGCAGCTTAGCAGTCAATATGACTGGGCCTTCAGGAAGAGGATTTTCCTAGTGAGCCTCAATCTCCCAACTTAAAAAGTGGACATAGCATGGACTAGAGTTTCAGCTTAGTGGGAGTACCTGCCTAGCCACTAAAGCCCTGGGTTCAATATCTAGTGCCATAATAAAATGATATAAAAAATTTAAAAACTGACAAAACAGGGGCTGGGGATTTAGCTAAGTGGTTCCGCCGCCTGCCTTGCAAGCACAAGATCCCGTGCTCAATTCCTGGCACCAAA